CTGAAATCCCCCGTGTTTAGAAATGTCTCTCTCCATCTTCTCTATGCTGATCCCTCTTGCTCTCTCCCCACCCATTCTGGATGCCCCTAAATTATCTCCCTATGTTTCTGAAGGGGACTGTTTTATTTAAAGACTTAGGATCATGCAAGTATCCTTTCACATGTAAGACAGGTTTCATAAATAGCAAATGAATTCTTTTTTTTTTTCCTGTTACAACACACTACTCTGCTTCTTTTTAAATGAAATTGCTTTTAAGAAGTGAGCAGCATAACTTAAAAATATAAAATTCCATGTCTGTAGTCAACAACAGTAAGTTGTGAAGAAGACTCGATCCTAGCCGCTGCGCTGCTGCCAAGAGGTTCTGCCATTGAAGTCGGAGGAGCTGGTTCTATGAATAAACCCACTTCTTCAGAAGACTGTTTCTAGGATGTGGCCCTAGAGTTAATTGAAGCTTGCTGGAGTGCAATAAACTTCTCAGTGGGAAAGCATGGTGTAGAGAGATGTTGATAGCTTAGTACCTATTTGTTTATGAGGTTTTCCAAGTGCATACTTGGAAAAGTATGCACTTGATGGAGCATAGATGCAGCAAAGATGGAGCCCTGCGTTGAGAACCACATGGCCAACCTTTGAGCTTTAGTCAGGTTTCAGCAGCTTTTCCCAGGTGCAGAGATCATCATGTGGTTTAGGGGCATTAATAGTTGAAGAGTTCATATTAGTTTGTTCCCTTGTAATTAAGAGGCATAACAACAGTGTGATTGCTGTAAAAACATTGTTAACTTGCTGCTATGTCATCATAACTTGCTAGTTAATGAAAGAGTAATGCTTTGTTATTGCTACAGAATTTTTCTTCCAGCAAGGGAATAGGTGCAGTTTTGCGTCTCTAGAAAGAGCAGTGTGTATCTGGATGGCATTTTTTAGTAGTAGTGTTTGCTTTGAGAGAGTGTGTATATTTATTTTGTAGTTGTATATGATTTTATGTAATTCCTTAGATATAGTTAAGAGATTAGTGACTACCTGAAAGCTCTTCAGTGTTGTGTAGAAATTATTGCTGTGAGATAGGGGGAGAAATATATTTGAACACTTACATTTCTCGTTTTGTGTACATACGCTTCGTTCATGCAGGTTAGTTGTAGACCTGCAATTGAGCAGGAAGAGCTGTAGTTATAATTTGATATGCAGCTGAATGCTTAAGCCACAACAACAAAAAAATCTAAACCAAAAAAAACCCCACAAGTTGATTAATAAGGCTGTATGTAATGTACATGTAGTGAGTGGGGATAAGTTGTCTTGTGGACTGAAAATATAGAAATAGATACAGTAGTGTGTTTCCTGCGTTCTAGAATTTCAGACTGTGAAATGTGAAGTATGTGTGAAATGTCAGGCTTGGTGCTTTGATTTACAAAGATTTTTCTTACCCTGCTTGGCCCACTAGTCAGCTGATTGAGGTACTACTTTTATCAATAAATGAACTGTGGAACTAGACCTGTCATTCAAGAACTCCAAGTACACTGGTAGATGAAACCTTTTTTCAGCGCATGTTTGCAGTATCACTTGATATTTCATGCCGTATCCAGTGCTACTACCTATGTTTAAGTTTCTCTTCTGTAAAACTGTGAACAGGAGCGAGTTTTAATGTAGAAGAAATTGCATGTGGCATATTAGTTGTGTCACTGCATCAAGCCTTCTGTATCTTTAATAATACATGTGTAGGATGTGTCTAAATATCTTTTTTTTCCCATGAACTTTCAGCAAAATCTTAAAAGTTTCTGATATATTTACTGTTCTGCAGGGAAGTTCGTAGTTTATCCATAGTCCAAAGCATGCAGTTAATACTTAGACATTTGTAAATCTAAAGGATGCACTTAGCTATTTGCAAAGATTGGTCTTAACTTTTGAAAGTGAATTTTGTGATGAAAATTCTTAACATTAGTGACAACAGGAGAATTAACTGTGCTGTCAAAATGAAAAGATTAATTAGGGAAAATCTTCAAATTAAAAGGAAATGTCATTTCATTTTTTCATAGGAAACATACTGTTTCCAATAGCTAGAAGTTATTGGAACTTTTTTCTGTCTGCTAGTTCTTCCTTACCCCCTTGTTTGAGTTACTATTTGTGTGTCTCAAGTTTGTGTGGTTTTTTTTTTCATTTTGTAATGCAATTTATCAGCAGTATGGTACTAAGCGATGTTTCTTGTTGTTTGGTGTGTGCTTTCAGAGGACTACGGGAGTATGCTGCTTGCAGAGGCTCTGCTGGAAGAATGTTTGAAGGAGAACTTTGCCAAACTGAAGGACTCCATTCCATTGACAGAGAAGAATGAGCCAAAACTGAGTGAAGCTAAACAGTATCTGACCAATACCTTAAGCAGAGGAAAGCTACGAGTAAGTGGGCTCTGTTGTCGTAATTCCTGCCATCTTGCTTCTTTCATATGACTATTGGTCTGATACAAGGTGTTGGGTGTTGCCTGTCCATGTCCCTGCATGTACAGTGCTGTACTGTAGGTATTGCTAATGGACTGGTAATTCAATACCCCTTTGCAGTGCCTTCTGTTAGGAGACTTGCTTTCTTGTATATAAACAAGTTATGTGCCACAAGTATATATCTTGTTTATTTTTTTATTGGAAAGAAGCAGGATAAATATTTAAGAATTCTCTGGGGTGGTGGGACATGGCCACATAACAGTGGTGTCAGGCTAGCACAGCTGAGTGACCTGCTGCCACTCCTGGTCTGAGGGTGTTGCGTACGTCTGGTCAGCTCCGGATTGGAGGTAAAACGTGCTGTAAGCTACTGCCAGGCACTTAAGGTTGTAGTGTGAGTCCAGGATTGCAGCCTAGCATTGCTTTCAGTCTCTGCCAAGAAGTTATGTGAAGTTATGCTTTTATATTCTTTTGTGGTTTTGGTATATGTTTGGTAGCTGCCTGTCAACTCAGCTGCAGAGCTTTAGGAGTGTTTTAAGACTTTGCCTTGATGGCTGCTGCTGTGTTGATGTCCTTGGGCAAACAGTTGTATAACTGGCTTTAAAAAATGATGAATTACAGCAGTCTGTTCTAGACTTGTTTTACTTTTGGTTCTTAAACTTACAGGCTACTCAGCTTGGAAGTATATGTTATACTTTTATAATGTTAATTTCCAGGGACCATGTCTACAGTGGCTCTTCTGGGACAATTTCTTGATCTTAACTTCTTGAAAGTCAGTATACTTAAAAAGTAAAAAGGAGGGAGGAAGGAAGGGGAGTCCATCCAACCCTCTTTCTTTATAGTTTAGCCCCAGTAACAGCCAGAACCACTGAATTCTTCCAGGTCTTAGTGTTAAATTTGGATGCATGAATTGCCATTACTGTTTTCTTTGTTGGCGGTGACTTGGCTACTCATGCAGCATTGACCCTGTGTTGACTGCATATATTAAAAAAAAAAAAAAGAGTGTGAAGACTTAGGAACCTTTTCATGCTTTCCAAAGCATAAAAAAAGTTTGGCTAGGTGTATTTTAATTTTTGTTACATAGGTTTGTACCCATATTTTCAATCCTTAAGAAACCAAACAAATCTTAAGAGATAGCAGGCATGCTTTCTGTTTTTCTGCTGTTGCGTGAAAGTTCTTTGATTACTTAAGAAAATTTCAGAGCTTTTTCACTCCTTAAATATGCAGAGGAGAGGAGAGCACTTTACGAAGAGGCGATGCATGCTTTCTAGTTTAAAAGCAGGGAATTTTCTTGGTGTGTATGTAGGTAGTTCTGACAATGCCAGGCTTTTATGTGCTGTCTGTGGCTGGTGAATTAATAGAGTAGGTCAGCTGAAACCAAAGAGGTGGCTTGTAAGCTGTGTATTTCCAAACTGAGCTCCAAAGGAGTTGCGTGACCTTTGTTGCCTGCCCATGAGCACAGCCCTAAGATCTCTGGACACTTAAATCCTTCCTACTCTAGCCTGCGGAGCTAGCATTGTTGAGAGGAAAGCATTATGAATCTGCTTAATTTGTTCTGAAGTACCTCATTCTCGCTCTCTAGTGTTTTACCGTGTAAACACCCTTCCTCTCCCCACTCTTGTTTCAGCCTACGTATATGACAGAGGCTATGCTGATCCTAGGAAAGCTTCATTATGTGGAGGGATCCTACCGAGATGCCATCAGCATGTATGCAAGAGCAGGCATTGATGACCTCTCCACAAAAGATAAACCTCTGTACGTGATGCGTTTGGTAGCTGAAGCCTTCGTTATTAAAGGTAAAGGACCGTGTATGCATATTTGAAGTATGCTGTGTTTAGGCTGAAGTCAAAGGTATTTCTCCAAGTGATTTGGTTGGAGCAGAGTTAGGGCAATGCTGTATGCTTTAGGAAATCCTTCTGGGTGTGGTCTGTGTAGTTTAAACTTAAAGGCATTATGGAGTCTTAGTCCATGGTTTTTAAACTTGCCTGTAAATAAAAGTTTGAATTGGAAATCTTGCAGTAGCTCTTGGCTGTAAGTCAGCAACACACTTGAGCTTGTGTATCCATTTTGGGGAAATCTAAATCGAGCACTGAGCTGAATTGGGGCCTATGTGTTTTCTTAGAAAGAGTTCATCTACTTGTAAATTTTAATGATTTCTGTGAATTAAGCAAGGACAATGTTTCCAAGTTTTAAACTCTGGACTAACGGAACATGTGCTTTCGAAGCAGGTAGTATATTTTTGCAATGCATGTGTCACAGTATCAGACCCTATGTACAAACAGGAATCTCTCCTTCCTCTTGTATTTCTACAGATGTTGCACTGTTTGAGAGATCCTAATAAAAACTGCCTCTATGGGTAGTGAAATTGCATTTCCTTTTTGAGTGGGGGAAAGGAAGACCCTAGTCAGTTTTTGACTTGGGGGGGAAAAAAGATCAGTAATCTTCTTCATTTGCTTTCAGTTCCTTTATAAATGTTGCTCAAGTACTGCTACCTATCTACTGCTTTCTACTCTTTTCAGCATGTCCACCAGCTAATTAGGTGAATGAGAACTCTGATGATCAGATACCTTCAACTGGTATGTAAAAGAGTGAAACCAAATCAACCCAAAATACTGTTTGACTGGTCTGCTAGTATTACTGATAATAATTTGGGTGTTTCATGATCTCACCCAGTCATTCTGTTTTTTGAAAACCTGTTTGTGCTGCTTTGCTTGCTTTGATTTTGTTTTCTGTGACATCGGTTGAATCTGGTTCACTAACGAGCTTTTGTGGAGCAGGACTAATTCACTTGTAACTTGCACTAACACTTGCATGGCGCAGAGGAGCGAGTAACTGCCAGTGCCTTCATAGCAGTGTCAGAGCAGAGAGCAACTGTTGGTGCACTCCAGAGTCTGAAGGAGATGCACTATCCTCACTGGGAACTGGATGAGGTCCTTAGTGAGGTGTGAATGTAAAAAAAAGGTATGCATGAACGCTGATGGAAAACACTGTTCCTGTAAGGCCTCTTCTACGGTATTGACTACTTCACTTTCATATGAAGATATTGGGGGTGGAGGTGTTTACCTCAGAGGATCAGGCTGTAGCTTTTCTTTTTGCTGTGTAGTTTAGCACAGAACATAAATGTTGTATTACCCCTGTGTGTGTGTGTAAACTGTAAGGAGTCCCCACCATTGCAGTGCAACCTCTGTGCTATTACTGTTCCACAATTTTTTATCCTCTGTGATGATCACTTTCAGATTAGCCCCAAGGTGTCAAGGGTACAGTAAGTCACTCAGTATTCTACCAAAATTTCTGACAAAGAAAAGTCCAGCAGAGTTTGGAGAGGGCACTCACTGCTAGGATCACTGTTGCCCCATGCCAGAGGCTCAACCTTCCAGTCTTAGAGAAATAAGCCCTTAAGCCTTAGAAGTTTGTACAAGTAGCTATGGCAATAGCAGTGTGGATTTAAGTTTTCATTTCAAAACGTGTCTGTCCAGGCTACCTCTGCAGAGCAAGTAACAGCATGGAGTTGAATTATTTAAAATTCATTTATACCTTATGCTAAAGATTTTTCTTATTCTCTTTTTTCATTTGGTATCTCTGCAGAAATTCTGTTGATCCATACCATGTTATTGCCTTTGGTTGAAATACTGTTAGCTTAGGCAAGCTGCAACCTTCTTTAAAGACACTCTTGAACACTGCTGGTTGTAAAATTTTTGCAGGGATCATTTAGGCAGCAATCCAGAAAACCCACAGTCCTGTCTTTATTTCAAAGTGGAACTTAGGTTTGCTGCTTAATTTCTTCCTCAGATTTTCAGTAATGAGAGAAAGCAGTTGGCTTAATAAATATCCCTGTTCATCCAGCATTAATTAAACACCAGAACTTTGTATCACTTTTTAACCAAGGTGGCTTCAGGTTCATGCTTTGTGTAGCTAGTACTGCTAGGTTGTGGCTATATGCAGAATGGCAGTAGAGGTTCTCAAGCACTCAGGATTATGCTGGAAAGGTCAAGGAAGAAAGAAAAGTCAAATTAAAGGCACTCACACTTGTCCTTTTACAGCTGGAATCAAACAATGTAATGAGGAAGATACAGGATACACTGTGAGGAGCTGCATAGATGAAGTCAGTGGTAGAAATGGAATGTGAACCAGCAAGCAAAACTGAGTTTGGTTTTTGTAGAGCATCTTTTGAGCTCCACAACACTGAAGGCTGGACATTGAGATAAGTCTCTGGGGCCTTCCTCTGAAGGTCCATAGCATGTAGTAAGTGCATATTATGATAAGAAGCAATATGGACTTGCACCGTTGCGATTGGACTGTAGAAGTTGAACAGGGAAGAAGTTTCTTACTTGCCTTGCTCAGTAGACTTCCACCTAAGGTCAGTATGACGCAGTACGTGTTGGATTTTTCATAAATGCAGGGACTTGAGCAGTCAACAAGTCACAGGAGAAATGGCAGAGAGGGCAAGACTTAGTTTCTCAACTGACTTTATCTTTGTTCTGTTTCTAAATCTCCATGTTGTGAGGATGGGAGAAGTTCTGTGGCACTATGAGTGGAGCTCTGATAACAATTTGATTTTATTTATTTAATTATTTTTTTATGATGACTAATTTTAACCTCTATGGATAGTTAATAGGTGATTGATGTGTACTTGTCTCCTTCCTCCTCATCCTCTGTGGAGTTAATTCCTCCTTAAAACCTCTATTCAGTTCACACTACTGCAGGTAATCTTTGATGCAAGTGCTTCTGTCTGTTGCATAAAACAGTATTGAGTAAGCAAACTTGCTCTTGCTTTGCTTCTAATTCACTTGGGACATGTTGTGGCTTTGTTGCCTGGCATTGTCCATTCGAAACATGCAAGCAAAAAAGACTTCAGAACAACATACATAACTGCCAGAGCTCATTCTTTTCCCTCTGGCTGTGCTGGCTGCAGAAACACTGCAGAGATCTCTGTATGCTCCCAGTGGATAAATCTTCCTGGTAGTAGGGCAGGTCACAACCTAACCCTTTACAGAGCCAAGTATAGTCTAGCCAGGTCTTCAGCATACCTAAATTCCAAGTCTGTAGAAGGGCTCCTATGTTGTTGCAATACTTGTTGCACAGCCTTTCTTACTGTGCTGCATGAGAGCACGCTGAGAGCTGTGTTAACTGAGTGATGAAAGCTCAGGCAGGGCTCATGCGGTGTGTGGGTCCTGTCTTTGTAATGACCGAGAGGATCTTTGGCTTGCAGTCAGGATGTGTGCCATCAGAGCTGCTGCAAGGGGAGTCAGCCCTGTGCAGAGGAGCTCCCTGTGTCCATCCGACCAGCTGTCAGGCCAGGCACTGGACTTCTTCCACGTGGAGGTGGGTAGCCTGGAGATAGGTAGCTATCTAAATCTGTGCAGTGATGACATAGGATTGCAAATGGTATCTAGGTGATTTTTCTAGTGAGTTAAATCTTTAACAATCCCAGTACCTCTTTTTTTCCTTTTCTCCCAGTACACACTGCAGTAATTTTTGTGGTGTTATTGGCCATTTTCAGCTCAGGTTGGGTATAATTTGTTACTTGCTCCAGTCTGAACTCTCAGTACAGTCAGGAGTTGGCAGTTCTGGGGTAATTCGTCAGATCTTCAAATAGTGCCTGACACAGATGAAGTGCATGGTATTCTACAATACAACCTCCTCTTTGGTGCCTGTGAGAGGTGGCTGTGGACTAACTTGTTTGTGGGCGTTTAAAGATGGGTGAGACAAATCCCTTGTACGTTTCTTTCTAAAACGTTTTTTTTTAAAACTTTTGAAAAGAGATCCTGTGTATTAAAAGGCTGCAGTGTGAACTCAGCCTTTTTAGACTTTAGAAGAATCCATGTGGAAGAGAACAAGGTGATGCTGTGTCTGTAAGAAGCCTTGATCATAGTCTCTGTTTCACTATAACAAGTCCAACCACAGGTCACACATACAAGGAAATGAGATGTCATTGGTTCAGTGGCTTCCAGGAATCTTTGTTGCGTTCTTCAACCCGTTTAAGTCATAAATGGTTAGAGTTGGAAAGGATCTCAAAGATCATCTAGTTCCAACTCCCCTGCCATGGGCAGGGACACCCTCCACTACACCAGGTTGCTCAAAGCCTCATCCAACCTGGCCTTGAACACTTCCAGGGATGAGGCATCCACAGCATCTCTGGGCAACATGTTCCAGTGCCCCACCACCCTCAATGTAAAAAAATTTCTTCCTCATATCTGATCTAAATCTCCCCTCTTTCAGTTTAAAGCCATTACCCTTGTTTTATCACTACATGCCCTTGTAAAAAGTCCCTCTCCAGCTTTTCCTGTAGCCCCCTTTAAATACTGGAAGGCTGCAATAAGATCACGCCGGAGCCTTCTCTTCTCCAGGCTGAACAGCCCCAACTCTCTCAGCCTGTCTTCACAGCAGAGGTGCTCCAGCCCTTGGATCATCTTTGTGGCCCTCCTCTGGACTCGCTTCAGCAGCTCCATGTCCTTCTTGTGTTGCGGACTCCAGAGCTGAATGCAGCTGAGACCAGGTGAGGTCTCATAAGAGCAGAGCAGAGGGGCAGAATCACCTCCCTCGACCTGCTGGCCACACTTCTTTGGATGCAGCCCAGGATATGATTTGCTTTCTGGGCTGCCAGTGCGCATTGCTGGCTCATGTTGAGCTTCTCATCCACCAGCACTCCCAAGTCCTTTTCCTCAGGGCTGCTCTCAATCCATTTTCTGCCCAGCCTGTACTTGTACTTGGGATTGCCCTGACCCACGTGCAGGACCTTGCGCTTGGCCTTGTTGAACTTAAGATCTGTACTATGACACTTCTGAAAAACCATAAG